GTACGCCAAGTCAGCTGATGTAGACATTTGTAAACCAGATAATCATTTACCTATTAAGGAAGTATATATTACTTATGCCGCAGAGACGTGTATGTATATCAACAGCACATTTAGTTAAAGTAAAAAATTTAAAAAATAAAAAACAATATTCAGCAATGTTATATTGAACTTTGTTTGCAAATAAAAAATAGATTTAATTTAGCAGTGAAATTTTGAAAAGCCTTGCATGTATTGATCCATTGCCATATAAACAAAGCGCTAATTATACATTTTTAACCGTTTAAATAATGTTCCTAACTTTTTTAATTTCGATAATTAAATAGGTTGCGCTGAAGTAAGCAAGGGGGAGCAAGCAAGCTAAAAATGCTTTAATTAACTTCTTAGATTTCGAACTAACTTTTTTTCATTTTTAACTTGTTATGTTTGCCGCACAGCGCATTTTCTCAGAACTGAATTTGATCAAAACAAATGGAACAAATTGCTTCACTTTGCTAATGGTGGAATGCATAATATTTTCGAAATGCCATAAAATGATTAAAAAAAATTGTATTCCTAGTCCCATAAGTACAAAAAGTATTTAAACTAAAAATAAGATATATATAAGATATTTTTGCTGTACAGTTGAACTCGTACATGTAAAACATTTTCTTTATTATTATACTAGTACAAAGTATAACTGATACGTGTACCTTTTTTGCAATAATAATAATAATCCCAACGGTTTTAACCCTCCATTCCCGCCCATCCGCACGAGGGGCGCAGTCCGCATGACGTACGGAACCGGTATTTATTTTAAATTTTTGCGCCGAGTCACGATAGGCAGGAGTTTGTTAAGTGTCGAGATCTAAAACTGTTCAGCTACAAAACTAAATTCATCAGCCGATTTTATGTCTTTATTTCAATGATTCATTTATTGAGAGAGGACAGTATCGATTTCTTAATGCTGAAAAGCGGATCTGATATATCAAACGTGCAGGAATGAGAGTTAAAATCCTGGCATAAGTAACGGAATGGGTCGTGCAATTCAAAATTAGTTTTACAAGCTTTCAGAAATAGGGGACAAAAGTGTCTTGATACCCGGGAGGGCACATTAAGGCTAACTTCGACCAGAAGAAGCGGACTTGAAATTGAGCCTGTTCGTAATTCAACTATAAAAATTGTACCAAGCATTTGCCTGCGGCTAGAAAGTGTAGGAAGATTAGTAAGTTTTAATCGGCTCGTATAAGGTGGAAGGTTATATTGAGAATCCCAACGGAAATTTCTTAAGGCAAAAAGTATGAATTGTTTTTGAATTGATTCTATCTTGTCTGAGTAAATTTGATACCTTGGATTCCAAACCACGGCACCGTATTCCAGAATTTGCCTAACTAATCTTGTAAACAGGGTTTTAGTGATATAAGGGTCACAAAATTCTTTTGACCTTCGTTTCACAAATGCAAGTACACCTTTAGCCTTGTTGACTGGCACATTTATATGAAGATTAAAATTAAGCTTAGGATCCATTGTGATACCAAGGTCCACAAAATTGTATACCTGTTCCAGGTTATGGTTACCTATTGTATAAGAAGCGGATTTACGAAGAATATTTATGACTCGTTTTGTAGTATTTTGTAATTTTTCGTGATTTTCAGCGTGAATGAGGATATCATCCATGGCGACTTCTACATTTTCAACATTTTTTTTAATAATTCCGTCAAAGGGGAGACGCAAACAGGAATACCTTTCCCATGGGTTTCCAAATGTCAAATAGCCGTGTGTTCTTTTCGACACTTCTTAGGTCAAGAAATGTAAAATAATGATACCTTGCAATCCGTCTTTTGGTATTTTGTTGACATCTAACGGATCGATATATATTCGGATATACTTTTTATTTTATATTATTACCATGGGGCTGACTGCTGGGGTTGACAGGTTTAATAACCTCCATAGCGACCATTTTATCAAGCCCTTTCTTCACATTGTCTCTAATGGCGTACGGAATTCTTCGCGGTGGCTTTATTTCGAATTTAGGGTTGTCTATCAAACCAATGTCCAATTCATAATTTTTAAGGCAGCCTAGTCTCTTAAAGATGCCATCATCTTATCTAGTTCTAAGGTTTTTATTCTTGCTACCAACCCTAGCTCTTCGCACGATTTTCTAACAAAAGTACTGGGCAAACATTTTCTTTTACTACTTTAAAATTGACATCAGCTCAGTTTGACCAGCAACACGTATTTATTTTGATTTTCGAAGGACGAAAAACGATGAGTCGTAAAATTGTAATTTTGGATTTTGTTTACAGAAATGTTCAATGTAAAGTTATAAGAAGAATCGCATTGTTAACAGGCATAAGTCTGACCTTTAATTTGGTAAGAATTACGTAACGATTGAATACTATTTTTCAAAGATCTATGAACAACTCCGATCAATCGCTAGTTTTTTTTTCCTACTTTTTCTTCATCTCTAAAAATGACTTAACAATATAAGAAAACGAATGCCAAAAAGGTGTATTCGAGAGTTAACAGCTTTCATCGAAGCTGGGTACCCAAATTTACTGAGTTGCAAACCCTTTAGTTGGAAAGACTTCGATAGATCCTTTGAAGAACTGGACAATAACGCTCTATAATCGGCATCGGTGAGAACGATTGTGTCCTTAGAGTTAAAGTTATTTATTTAATTGAAAGTGAAAAAGCATCAAAACTTTACTAACGAAATTTTTTACACCATTTGCAGTTATTCGCAATCAAGAACCGGTCTAAAAGGACGAAACAAAACGAATTCCGTTCTTGTCTTTTCCTGAAAAAGTTTTTTGTTTACATATGGTAACTGAATAAAACTAAATATTTCACAAACGTGATCCTAAGATAAGTGTAATTAGTAGTTTTTATCCTATAAATCCCTAATTATGTGTAGAAAATTGCCATGAATAACAAAAATCTGTAACCTAACAGTTTTAGTACTTCTATACATACACACATATTTCATTTACCTTTTAACATTCTCTCATTGTATTCTCTTTCCACATTTACTTGGTCTTATGTACTTAAAAAAATTAGTTTTTAAGTTTCAATAATGAGTTCAGTTGGTATTAAATCGTTCACAGAGACTGTCTAAAATCGGGAACCTTGGGAAATAGCGCGTTTTATTTAAATCATTTTTTTCATGGTGCCGAAACCCGGGACAGTCGAACTTGCGATTGGTTAAATTTTAATGAGCGAAAGCGGATTTAATACAATTTAATTAAAAAGCGAATATTTAGTTCACGTTATGGAGGCTGTTTTTGGAGCGTCGTGCAGAACACAAGTCACGAAGTTGTGCAACGCGGCTAGCGATTTTCTAAAACCAGTTAAAGCTACAGATTTTGCCGATGCAAATTGTCCCGCCACAGTGGAGGAGGAGCTAAACGTCTTCCTCCAGCGATTAAAAAATGCTCATTCCAACGTCAAAAAGGCGGACGAGGCTCTGCGAAGTACCGTTAAGTTGGATGATATGCAAAGGGAAATTGAAAGCGTAATTGAATACGATGATAAAGCCGTAACGGTACTTGCAGAGCTTTGGACATATTTTAAGCCAACGAAAGTCAATCTACCTAACAGCGAAAACGCCGGGCAAAATGGTGAAAGTGGTCATCATGGCATTAAGTTAAAGGCGTTCGAGTTAAAGAAATTCGACGGAAAGCTGGAAAATTGGTTGCCATTTTGGGATCAGTTCAAGCTAGCCGTTCATGAGATTCGAAAATTATCAACGGCTGCAAAATTTAATTTCCTCAGCGAATCTTTGATTGGGAAAGCTGCGACTATAATAGCGGGGTTTACGTCATCTGACCAATGTAACAACGATGCCATAGCTCTGTTGCAAGAGGAGTACGGCAATAGCGAAAAAATAGTAGAAAAGTTTTTACAGAAATTGATGAACCTTAAGTTAGTACAGTCGTCGAGCGACGTTCGTGGTCTGCGACAACTGTATAATCAGGTGAGCGCCACCATGAGATCCCTAACGGCACTTCAAATACCATCGTCTCACTATGACGATATGGTAAAGTCGGTATTGATGAAATGTCTACCAGTGGCCATACGCATCAATTCCATAGATCAGCCGGCAGAGGATCTCTTTCCAGCACGTTGCTCAACTCCACCGCTGACAACTTGCAAAATAGCGGCTCAAGTGACGCACAGTTAAAGACTCTCCTGGACTTAATCAGAGCCGAACTTGATGCTCTGGAAAAGTCGTTGTTGTCAGAGCGTGAATATAACCGGCATGAAGACCGCGAGCGAAAAGGAGGGCACGTGGCTTGTTTACCAGCTCGAGCGATAAGCAACCACAATGTGTTTTTTGTAAGAAAAATAATCACTACGCAAAAACTGCAAGAGTGACGTCAATGTGTGAGCGGCCGACGAAGGTCGAACAAAGCGGAATAACTGATAGGATGGGCGTTCAGGAAGACAAAACGCCACCTTCAAAGGCGAGTGCTGCTACATTAAGCTCGATAGACCACAGCAATTCTGAGATTTTTCTGCAAACAGCAAAGGCGATAATTAGCAACGCAAATAATACAGAACGTGTTTGTCCAGAATTATAGTGGACAATGGGAGCCAGCGAACCTTTGTTACCGAGAGAGTCGTGAAAATGCTCAATTTACCAAGATATGATACAGAAAAATTACGAATTTTTGCGTTTGGCGATGAAAAGCAGAGAAAATGATTGACAGAATTCAAGCGTGTAGAATTGTCACTAAGGAGTCAATATAGCGGCGTGCAAAACACAATCATTGCGACGGTTGTGCCTTCCATATGCGAAGATGTTTTGCCGACGCCAAAGGTTGAAAATAAGAAACTATTACTAATTGAATTAGCCGATTATAAGAATTGTAATGAAAGATTTATCAACGGTATTAATCTTTTGATTGGACAAGACTACTATTGGAAATTCAATACATCGATGAGCGAATAAGTATCGGACAATTTAGTAGCGGTGAAAACCCTTTTCGGTTGGACCGTGCAAGGTCGATATAAAATCAACAATGGCGCGGCATGTGTATTCCAAGTACGCGAAGAGAACGCGGAAGAATTTGATGTTTCACAATTTTGGAATTTAGAGTCAATTGGCATAGCCAACATAAAAGGGGCGGTGAAAAATTAGCGATCGAAAACACAGTGACTAATATTACCACTTGTGATGGGAGATATGTAGTGCATTTGCCGTGGATAATAGATTGTGCGACTCTAAATGACAATAAACAAGTAGCGCTCAGTCGGCTTCATGGATTAACTCATAAATTGCGTAAACATTACGAAAAACTCTCGGAATATGATAACGCAATTCGCGATTTAATGCATAGTAGCATCGCTGAGAAAGCGCCTGAAACTGCCATTGAGGACCCAGTGTATTACATGCCGCATAGACCAGTTTATCGTGAAGACAAGGCTACTACCAAAATGCGCATTGTATTCGATGCGTCCTCCAGCGAACCGGGATTTTTATCTCTTAATAACACTTAAGCAAAGGAGAAAATTTAGTTGCCGATATGGTGACCACTATTTTAAGGTTTCGTTCCAATAAAATTGCGATTATTTCCGATATTGAAAAGTCATTTTTACAGATATCTCTGGCTACGTGCGACCGTGATTCGCACCCATTTTTGTGGTATAAGTCCATGCCAAAGTCACATGGGGAATTCCCAGAAACAGTTGAATTTCGAATGACGAGAGTTACCAAACAGTATATTCCTATTTGCGATAAACTGAAGAAGTCATTTTCTGTTGACGACCTGGTTCTAAGCGAGAAAAACTTGGAGCTGGCTTTGGCAACATATCACCAAGCCACTAAGATCATGAGCGAAGGGAAGTTCAACTTACGAGAGTGGAACACAAACGGTGCCGAATTACGAAACTGCTTTCGTAAGGACGGTTTGCAGCCAGTTTCCAATCAAAAGGTCCTTGGAATTAATTGGTGTACGACTACCTATGATATCAGCGTAGACATAGCAGGCAGCATCGACTACTTACAGTCTTTGCGAGGCACTAAACGAAATATTATTAAGGCACTGGCGAAAATTTACGATCCAATTGGAATCCTTGGTCCCTTTACACTTACAATAAAACTCATGTTGCAAAATGTTTGGAAGGTGGAACTCACTTTACCAAAATTAGAGTTGACAGCGGCATTAATAGTAGCGAGGTTAAGCGATTTTAATAAAATCGTTAGACTTCGAAATAGCTTCTGTTAACCTGTCGAGCGATTCCGCCATAGCACTCAATTGGATAATCGGCCACGGTAAGAAAATTAAACATTATGTTGCTACAAGAGTGGGTGAGATCAACGAGCTAACAAATATTTATGACTGGAGATATTGCCACGGTAAGACCAATCCGGCGGATCTGTTGACCAGAGGCGTTCGAGCTAAAACACTCGCAGAGTCTGAATTGTGGAAATATGGTCCACCTTGGCTATCAGAAGATTCGTCAAACTGGGTGTCGAAATTTGCTATTGACAATTCTACTGTTTTAATGGCAAGTATCACCGAAAGTATCAGCGCACCGGAACGAGAATCAGTTTAACACATCGATAACTTTAGTCAACTTAAGCGCTCTCTCTCTCTTGCGTATACCAGCGGTCGTATTCAGATTTTTGCGGAGCTTAAAAGCACGTTCCCCAGAACGACGATTGAAATCAATCAACGAAGTTGATGAGCTGACTTCCTATGAATTACAAGCGGCGGAACTATACTGGGTAAAGACTACGCAGACTCAGTTTTATTACAAGGAAATTCAGTCCCTGTCCAAAGGCTCGAAGGTTCTGTATGACTTAAAAATGATCTCCTTAAATCCTCAGCAGGAAGATGGCGTTCTCCGACTTACCGGTCGTTTCCCGGCAGGATAATTCGGTAAGAATATTTTTATGCCAATAATTCTGCCCAAAAACTCTCATTTCAGTCAGCTACTCCTGCTTGAAGCGCACAAAACAATGTTCCATGCTGGCGTTAATACTGTTTTAGCACAAATTCGGAAGAAGTACTGGATAGTACAAGGGCGGCAATTAATCAAGAGTGTTTTGCGAAATTGCAAGCGGCTGCACGGTAAAAGCGCGTCCGAGCCTTGGACTGTATTGCCAATCGAAAGAGTATCAGCGAGTCGACCGTTCGAAACCACTGGTGTTGACTTTGCCGGACCACTTTTCGTAAAATCAGATAGCGAGAAGCAACAAAAGAAGGTGTACATCATGTTATTTACATGCGCAGCGATTCGTGCGGTACATTTAGAATTAGTGGGCGATATGTCAATTAAAAGCTGTATCGATTCACTAAGAAGATTTATAGCGCGTCGCGGCGTGCCAGCTACTATAGTCTCTGACAATGCCAAAACGTTCAAGCGTGCAGACCTGGAGCTTACTAAACTAAACGAGCTTATGAAAACCAATGAAGTGCAGCAACGGCGCACCAAAGAATCAAGTGGAGGTACATACCCGAGCGAGCAGCATGGTGGCAGGGGTGGGTTTTGGGAGCGCCTTGTCAGAAGCGTAAAGACGTCATTGAAGGCAGCAGTTGGAAAAGCACGTTTAACGTATGATGAACTGGCGACTCTTCTAGCAGAGGTGGAAAGTGTTGTAAATTTACGACCTCTTGCATACATAACTAACGATCATAGTGACATGGAACCACTTACTCCATCAAATTTTTTAAATCATTGCAAATCTATTTTAATTCCAACAGTTTTTAAAAATGACGAATGTGCCCTTTCGCAATCGTGGCGTTTGCGACAAGCCTTAGTGAAGCGATTTTGGAAGCGATGGCATGAAGATTACTTGAATCAACTTCGGTCCATTCACCATATCAAAAGTGGGCCAGCTCGCAGCATAAAAACCGGCGACGTTGTTTTGGTCCACGAAGATAACAAACCACGTCTACTATGGCGGTTGGCAGTGGTACGAACTACGTATCCAGGGCGTGACATTCGGCTACAACACCAGCAGGTTCTAAAGGTTCTATCCAGCTTCTATATCCAATTAAAATTGCATCGTCTATTGCAGGGCCGAGGATGTAGAAAATTGCCATGAATAACAAAAATCCGTAACCTAACAGTTTTAGTACTTCTATACATACACACGTGTTTTATTTACCTTTTAACATTCTCTCATTGTATTCTCTTTCCATATTTACTTGTACTTATGTACTTAACCATAATTCGTTTTTAAGTTTCAATAACGAGTTCAGTTGGTATTAAATCGTTCACCGAGACAGTCTAAAATCGGGAACCTTACGAAATAGCGCGTTCTGTTTAACTAATTTTTTTCATTATGATTAAGTTTCATATTTCCTTTAATTGTTAATATCCCAACGGTTTTTACCCTCCATTCCCGCCCATCCGCACGAGGGGCGTAGTCCGCATGACGTACGGAACCAGTATTTTCAATTTTTGCGCCGAGTCACGGCAGGATTTTTGTTAAGTGTCGAGATCTAAAACTGTTCAGCTACAGAACTAAATTCATCAGCCGATTTTATGTCTTTATTTTAATGATTCATCTATTGAGAGAGGACAGCATCGATTTCTTAATGCAGAAAAGCGGATCTGATATATCAAACGTGCTGGAATGAGAGTTAAAATCCTGGCATAAGCAACGGAGTGGGTCGTGCAATTCAAAATTGGTTTTACAAGCTTTCAGAAATAGGGGGCAAAAGTGTCTTGATACCCGGGAGGGAACATTAAGGCTAACTTCGCCAAGAAGAAGCGGACTTGAAATTGAGCCTGTTAGTAATTTAACTATAACAATTGTACCAAGCATTTGCTTGCGGCTGGAAAGTGTAGGAAGATTAATAAGTTTTAATAGGCTCGTATAAGGTGGAAGGTTATATTGAGAATCCCAACGGAAATTTCTTAAAGCAAAAAGTAGGAATTGTTTGTGAATTAATTCTATCTTGTCTGAGTAAATTTGATACCTTGGATTCCAAACCACCGAACTGTATTCCAGAATTGGCCTAACTAATGTTGTAAACAGGGTTTTAGTGATATAAGGGTCACACAACTCTTTTGACCATCGTTTCACAAAAGCAAGAACGCCTTGTTGACTGTCACATTAATATGAAGTTTAAAATTAAGCCTAGGATCCATTGTGATACCAAGGTCCACAAAATTGTATACCTGTTCCAGGTTATGGTTACCTATTGTATAACAACTTTACATTTCTTAAGATTTAGAGGCATAAGATTTACTTGACACCAGTAAGCCATGCTGTCTAAGTCTGATTGTAGCAAAGACCTTTCTTTAATTGAAACGTACGATTTATAAAGCTTTACATCATCTGCATACATTAAAATTTTGGAAAATTGTATATTTGTAGAAATATCGTTTATAAAAAGCAAGAACAGAACCGGGCCTAGGTGGCTACCTTGAGGGACTCCTGAAGGAACATCAATGACGTCAGAGATAGTATTTTTAAACATTACCCTTTGCGATCTATCATAGAGGTATGAAGAGATCCAACGTAGAAAATTAGGTGGAAGACCAAGAAGATCAAGTGTGTAGATGAGCAACGAGTGGCACACTTTGTCAAATGCTTTACTGAAGTCAGTATATATAACATCAACAGTTTTGCTTTCACTAAATGCTTTTGAGATATAGGATGTTAATTCAAGTAAATTTGTAGAAGTTGATTTGCCCTTGCAAAATCCATGTTGACTATATGAAATACTAGAAGAGATAGAATGCGTCAACTGATTTGTTATAATTGCTTCAAATAACACTATGCGACAGTCAAAATCGGGATGGGATGAAACCAACGGGAAATGTTATATCGGTCAAAAACAAGTTATACGTGTCCCGGCGTTTCGCTGGGTCACGTCTAGGAATCGAGATATATCGATTTGAAGTTAGTAACTATCATATAGGGGAAATTGTCACCTTTGGTGGTCTTTTTTTTACATAACTCGAGCACCACTAGTCCGATTTTGCTCAAAAAATTAAAAATTACAATTCCTTTAATCTGTTCATATAACGTTTTTCTATATAATCAACATTTTTGCCGGTAAAAATAAATGTATGAAGAAAAAGAATATTTTTTGCCTAAAATATTAAATTTCATGATATATGTCTCATTTTGTTCATAGGTTATGTGACTTTACGTGACACTTTTTTCCGTTTTGGATTTTTTATGAATTAAAAAAAAATTTTAATTTTTAGGCAAAAATAATTTTTTTTTCTTAAAAATTAAATTTTTTTCTTTTTAATTCATAAAAAATCCAAAACGGAAAAAAGTGTTACGTAAAGTCACTAGTACAAAGTTAGTAGTACAAAGTACAACTGATACGTGTACCTTTTTTGCAATAATAATAATAATCCCAACGGTTTTAACCCTCCATTCCCGCCCATCCGCACGAGGGGCGCAGTCCGCATGACGTACGGAACCGGTATTTATTTTCAATTTTTGCGCCGAGTCACGATAGGCAGGAGTTTGTTAAGTGTCGAGATCTAAAACTGTTCAGCTACAGAACTAAATTCATCAGTCG